ATGACCTCAATAGTGCCTCCCAACGGATAGGTCTTAAGATGAACATAGACAAAACAAAGATCATGTTCAATGTCCATGTCACACCTATGCCGGTAGTTGTTGGGAGCACTATGCTCGAAGTTGTTGACGAATACGTTTACCTGGGACAAATAGTCCGACTAGGTAAGTCCAACTTCGACCGAGAGGTCAATCGACGGATTCAACTCGGCTGGGCAGCGTTCGGGAAATTACGGCATATCTTTTCGTCAGGTATACCTCAATCTCTAAAAACTAGATTGTACAACCAGTGCGTGTTGCCAGTGATGACTTACGGATCTGAGACGTGGTCCTTCACTGCTGGCCGTATGAGGACGCTTAAGGTCGCTCAGCGAGCTATGGAGAGGGCTATGCTCGGAGTTTCTCTGCGTGATAGACTCAGAAATGAGGATATCCGCAGTAAAACCAGAGTGACCGACATAGCCCAACGGATTAGTAAGCTGAAGTGGCAATGGGCCGGCCATATAGCTCGAAGAACCGATAACCGATGGGGAAGAAAGGTTCTCGAGTGGCAGCCTCGTACCGGTAGGCGTAGTGTAGGGCGACCCCCACTAGATGGAGTGACGACCTGGTAAGACATGCAGGAAGTCGATGGATGCAGGTGGCTCAGGACCGTGCTTTGTGGCATTACTTGGGGGAGGCCTATGTTCAGCAGTGGACTTGTGAAGGGCTGTAATGATGATGATGATGATGTTACTAGATAACCACCGAAATTTGATTTGATTGTAACTCTTAATTGAAAGACATATACCTACTTCTAAGTCAGTGACACAGATTAACTCCTAATAGATTCAGCATACAGGGCCACAAACGCGCGCAACACATACTTGCTGTAGCTAGCATATGAAGTGACGCTAAGAATCACGATATCATTGTCGACCAAGAATATGACCCGTAGGCACGACCGAGTTTTTGAAAATTTAAAAATAATTTGGTATCCAAATTACATTACAAACGGCTTCCTATGCAGTGAGATGGTGTGGCAAGTCAGCTAAGACATCCAATTATCAAAAAGATGGCGTAATATTTCATCGGTAAGTAAATTTTATTCTTATCACGTTAACCTATTTCAAATGCACTGGAGTTCAACTTACACTGGATATATAATGTTGTAAAGTGATATCATTTGAGCACCCGTTGATGTCTTTTTGAAATGTCCCTTTCACTCATTTCGTAAATTAATATGTCTTTGTCTAACGACAGCACGTGTATCGATAGTGTTGTGAATTATAAGTCGATATTTGTTTGGTCATTGTTTAATTTTTTTTTGTAGTCATTATTTTATACAAATAGTGGCGTATAATTGTGGCACCTATATGTTATAGGTTTCCTAAATGCCCCGAAAGGAAAAGATGTGGATCGACGCTACATGTCGAGGGGACCAATGGTTTCCCACCAAAAATAGTGTGATATGCTCAAGACACTTCACAGAAGACAATCTTCATATTATGAAAAACCGTAGAAGGCTGTTGGATTCCGCTATACCATCTCTATACTTGCCAGTTTTAGTATTGACTTTTACATTTTTTTAAAAGTATAATACCAATGGTGATTACACAATAAGTAGTAGCATTAAGTGGTTGATTGAAACGTGATATTCTAATACTGAGGCGAATGTTACACGTCGAAATTAAACTATTTTTAACGGATTTATAAACCATAAAACAAGTGAAAGTTATAATGTGATTAATGTAACCAAGGATACCACTGCAAGATTTCAAGATACTGTAAGTTCGTTTTATGTAGATCGGGACAAAAAATCAATATTCAAAAACTCAAGATAGCCGGGCTATGATATTGAGATGTCAAACATCTCAGCCCCCCCCCCCCCCGTGACTATAACTTAATTAAACGAGATAAAATCCATATAATTATACAGTTTTATTCATGGGATTACTATATATAAAGAAATATGCATAATATATATATATATATATATATATATATATATATATATTTTTTTTAATTTCTTTTATTTATATACACTGTTTTATTTTTTAATAAATTTCAAATAAAAATTGATCAATTCATTTATTTATCAATAATCTATAAATCCCAAATTTAGCGATCAACGTCCCAACCCTGTCTCATCACTATGGTTCGGAGCATTCTAAGTTCAACCTTGAATTATCCAATCACAGCGCATTTGACACGTCCCCCGCAACTCGAAATTTGGTGAAATCGAAACGGAACAAATATTCCATTATGCGGTATCTATTAGGAGGTAATCTGTGGTCCGTGATTACTCCTATCGGATGCAGATGACAGCCTTGTGCTGACCATGGAGGTTAGAGAACAAAGAACGATCGCTGTAGAAAATAGCGTCCCAGAAATATGGACAAAATAAGTGAGGCGCTGCGATCGCTAAGTTGTCTGTATAAAAGCGGGCAATTGTATCCTACTTTGAAATTTTTATAATATCATTCAAAGAAAATAACGTATTATATATGATATTATTATTATTTATTAGTAAATAAATTATAAATAAGGTTTTTTTATAATTTTAATTATTACAAATATTATAAATTATTACAAATATAAATTATTAATATAGGGGTATCTGTGTAGTTTTCTCATCTGGTTGGTTTCTATAAATATATAATTATAAATTAAAATGAAAAGATAAATATACATGCCTGCATGCATGACCAAGATTAATAAAATAAAATAAATACAAAAAATACACAAATAAATAAAGATCCAACCAGATGGAAGCCATCGGCAGAGGAGACTAAACGGCCGAGAGTTAGGAGGAAAGGGAAAAAAACCGACGGACGTTGCGGGCGGTATCGAGGACCACTGCCTTCTGCATTTGAGCCCGGAGCGGTCCGTCACGGAGTCCCAGTCGCCTCAGATGACCCGAGAGGCTGACTGGGATTAGCCCATTCGCAGAGACGACTACAGGAATAATTTCGGACGGCAGACCACCCCACATGTCGGTCACCTCGTGATCCAGGTCCAGATATTTTGTTCGCTTATCTGTTTCGGTTTTCACGAGGTTCTCGTCATACGGAATGGTAATGTCGACCAAAAATATCCTTGACTGTGCCCGGTCCATCAGCACAATATCAGGCTTATTCGCAAGAATAGTCCTATCTGTGATGATGGCCCGGTCCCAGTAGAGCTTGGCGCGGTCATTTTCGTGCACGGCTTCCGGCAAGTACTTGTAATACGGCACTTTCCGGTCCACGAGACCGTATTTCAGAGCGAGCTCCTGGTGTAGAATTCGGGCTACTAGGTTGTGCCTGTGACAGTACTCAGAGTTAGAAAGCGCCAAACAACCGGAGATGACATGCCTAAGTGACTCCCCGGGATGGCGACAAGCTCGACAGACGTCGACGGTGCCATCCTTTAGGATGTATCTCCGATAGTTGTTGGTCTTAATAACCTGATCCTGTATTGCACAGACAAAACCCTCGGTTTCCCCGAAGAGGTCACCGAAACGTAGCCAGTTGAGGGAGGCGACTGTATCTACGAAGGGCTCATGTAGAGCCTTGTAGTACCTCCCGTGGAGCTCCTTCTCCTTCCATACGGTCTACCGGTCGGAAATGCTAAGCACTGCTGGGTCCTGCCATTGCTCGTTGGCTAAGGATAGAGGGGTAAGCCCCTTATCACTAGAAATTACGTCATTATAGAATGGATCATCCGATCTCGCCAAGAAGTATTGAAGGAGACTGCACACTTCGCGATTATGCATGGTGAGAGCGCTCAGAAAGCCACGCCCACCATGCTTTCGCGGCAAGTACAGCCTCATTACCGACGATCTCGGATGATGCATCCTATGGGACGTCATGGTAGTGCGGACTTTTCTATCCAGGGCGTTAAGCTCAGTCTGAGTCCCCCTGAGTATGCCAAAGGTATACATGAGGACAGGCATGACCCAGCAGTTATATGCATGTGGCTTATTCACACCGGACAAAAGGTTGTTAAGCACTTTGGTCAAGCGTGCATAAAACACGTCGCAAACTGACTGTTTCATAACAGCCTCATCAATACCGATTTTCTGTGACATACCCAGGTATCGGTATGTTTCAACCTCAGAAAGGGTCCTTAAGTTGACGGGCATAGATAAATATATGCCCCCAGAGTTAGCATCCCTTCCCCTTTAAACATGGAGGACCGCACACTTATCCGTCCCCAGGTCCATTCCAATGGAATTGCTAAATTCACAAGTGATTTTTAGCAATTCCATAAGATGGGAGCGACTAGAGGCGAATAACTTGAGGTCATCCATATAGAAAAGGTGGGTCACTTTTGTCCCTCCTTTCCGTAGCTGGAATCCCCTCCCAGAGCCCTCCAGTAAGGTACTGAGAGGGTTCAGAGAGAGGCAGAACCAGATTGGAATCAAACAATCGGCCTGGAAGATACCCCTTCTTATCCTTATTGGGTTCTCCGCAGCCATCATCCGCTCGCCCAGGTGACAAAAGATCGTACTCCACTGCCCCATACACTGCTCAAGGAAGTCTCTAACTGTACAGTCAATCTTGTACAGCTCGAGGACCCTCTTTGCCATGTATGGGGCACCGAGTCGAACGCCTTTCTGTAGTCTATCCAGGCGGCAGAGAAGTTCCGACGGTTGCGTTTCACCGCTCTGCCTATGACCGCGGCAATGAGGAGTGGTTCCTTGGTTCCACGACCACCGCCCCGACATCCATTTTGAGCGCGTGACATCACCTGGTTTATCTCCAGATGTCGAGTGATTCTCGCGTTCAAAATGGATCAGTGTCTTATATATGGTGGGTAGACACGTGATGGGGCGGTATTTGCTCGGGTCTGTGGTATCCTGATCTTTAGGAACCAAGTGAGTGATCCCAGTAGTGAAGAGGCTCGGGAACGTCTTCTGGTCGAGAGCCTCTTGAAACTGTCGGGCGAGCACAACGTGACACACTATGAACCCCTTCAGCCAGTAATGATGCAGCCCGTCGAGCCCCGGACGTTTCCAGTTCGGGGCCGTACGGACCGCCTCAGCCACGTCTTGGCGTGGTCATAGGCGTAACACTCGCACCCTGGCTCGCCACAACTTCCATCCAAGGGCCCTCGTTGTGGTTTACGGGCTTTGACAACAGGCCTCGCCAGAATGCGATAATGTCAGCCTGATCGGGTCCTTGGCCCGCTCCACATACCTTTGGTCGCTCCAATGATTTATAGAGCCTCTTATGATCACTCTGGAAGAGACGATTCTGGTTGAACCGCCTTGACCTCGCGGTAAATCGTCGAATCCGCTTCCCCCAAGCAGCGATCTTTTGCTTCAGGTTGTCTATGCGCTCCGTTAGTTTCTGCGTGATATCCGGCTGGGATAAACTGATATTTGTCCCAGTAAACGCCATCCTAACGGTGCGCACAATCCTCGGTCTATTATTACCCGAGCTGAAGCTTGTCAGTCTGCCGATAAGGGCCCTCGCCTTTGCGATACGGTCCTCGATTCTTTTCCTCCAGGCTGGGATGGCGCTACTTTGTGTGGTAGCGCGTCCAGCCATGGGAAGTTTGGCGCCAATAATACGGCAAACTGCCACTGCGGCGCCAAAGAGAACTGAGTCCGTCTCGCAAAGGTCCCGGCTGGCTTCCAAATAGGTTACCAGTATTGGGTTAAGAGCACTCACGACAGCCCGATTTCACTTAAATAATAATAATAAATTTTTATTTATTTACCAGAAAACACGTAGCCAAAATACAATAAGTTCTGTGACTCCCACACTAGGCATGGCCTGTCTCGTGGGGGTCAAGCAAAAGATTTTACAATTGATCAAAGTGGCTATTTGTCGAAATTACGTAAAACAATTATGTGCAGCAAAGCAAAAATGACTTAAAAATTTATGAAAAATTACAGACATAACAAACAGATTCTAATTAAAAGGGGCGCGCGTGTACTTGTGGGTGAATGTGTATGAATGTGTGTGTGTGTGTGTGTGTGTGTGTGTGTGTGTGTGTATGTGTGTATGTGTGTGTGTGTGTGTGTGTGTGTGTGTGTGTGTGTGTGTGTGTGTGTGTGTGTGTGTGTGTGTGTGTGTGAGCGTATGCTAGCATGTCTGTTACATAATTCTCTAAAAATTATAAGTAAAAGGGTGAGAGATTGCAATTGGGGATTAGCTGAGTGGTTAGGTAGCCCTACGATTACATTCTTGGGATCGGACGACAGGGCGTGCGTCAGTGCAGTCCACTACCGTTTAAACACCTATTTAAGGGTCACCAATATTTCTTCTGATTTCTCATAGTCCCAAGTCAATAAATGACCTCTCATTTTTATTTTAGCCTCATAAAGTTGGGATCGTTTTAAGTCGTATAAGTTGACTAATTTGTTGTAGATGCGAGGGAATTGGAACAGTCTGAAATGACGTGCGAATGATGTTTTAACTAAGGTTGTGGGGATCTTAAACACTCTTTTATTTATTAATGTATTAAACGTCGGCAGTTTTGAAGCTTCCCTGTGCATAAATGTAAAGGCCCTCAGAAGATACAATCTACGGACACTTAAAACTTGAGCTTCTCTAAAGAGATCTGACGTATGATAGCGCTTTGGTTTACCCATAGCTACCTTCAAAACTGCCCTCTGGGCCCTTTCCAGTACTATCAACTTAGAGGAGGATATACCACCCCACGCCAGTATACAATAGCTAAGTACGGACTGACATAGCGCAAGGTAGACGGACTTTAAAATGCTGCCATGAGTTTTTGAATATCTCAATATTGCCTCTGATACCGTCTTAGTAAAATGAGTAACAGACTCTTCAAGAGAGCTGCAGTTTATTACTGTTGACCAGTCCGTTCCTTCCAGCTCTGATCTTATTGAGTCTGTGTCAACTATTACTCTTGATCGAATAGGTTTTGATCTTTTTGGTTTGTGTGTCTTTAACATTATGCCTGCCATAGTGATATCATGGTCAGTGGCAGCATTGAGATAGACTACGGACTCCGCATTAGATTTTACGGGTACAAAAATGTGATCTATGCAGGTTTTGACCCGAGTTGGTTTGGTTATAGCTGGAAAAAGTCCGTACTCTGCTAATACATCTAAGTACTCCGTGTGCAAGTTTATGTCAGCTGCAGACCCAATAATATTTAAGTTTATGTCTCCAGCAAAAATAAGACAAGGAGAGGGACGCGTCAAGAGAGCGAATAAATATTTCTGGGTTGGTGTAACTAGGTGATCTGTAAGCGGCTACTACTGAGAAGTGATTTGCAACTTCTGCGGGGTATGCGGGAATAATAACTTGCTTAGGGGTATGCGGGAAAGTCGCGGTCGATTTTCGAGAGGGGTGCTGCGCGTTTCCAAAATCACCTCTTCCAATATACTCCTCATTTCCTCTAGTTCGTGGGAGAATATTTCACCGTCGTTCGAATCAACCACAACTGGAAGATCTATGGCGGCTTCCACGTGTGGATGCTGGTCTGTCGGATGTGGAGCTGCATCTCCAGCCATAGCCGATTCATTCGACGATGGAATAGCCTCACGTCGTAGTCGTTCGAGTTCGGCATCATCAAATATTTTCGAGCGCATGATGTACCTAACTCGGTCTGCCAGGTTTTGTTCCGTGACGGTGATAGAAGGCTCCAACTCAGCAAAAAAGCAAGCATCCGAGCCCTATACGCTATTTCCACAGTTTCTTCCCCTTTCGCCCTATTAGTACGCTCGCAATGCGTTTTCGTACATAGATTTTGTCCAACGCATGCAACGTGCTCCACCAGTGGCGGGTGCCGCTTGCTGAGTCCGAGAAGACCTAGCCGACACCAAGCCTTCTGGTGGAGATGATGGATGCTAGGGGCTGCTAGGTGATCGTGCAGTTCCTCGCACTCGGCTGGCGGCCCGCATGCTGCCGCGTCCAGCGCCAGCTCCAGACGCGCCTCGGCGAACCCCAGGCAGCGGCCCTATGCGCGTTCCTTTCTGTGCCATCATCCATTTTATGGGCGCCAAGTAACGGGAGACGCCCAAGCCCGGTACCGTTTCGTGGTTGGGACATATGCACAAACGGACCTTTGCACCCACAATTTTGCCTAGGCACGGCGCTCACACCTCTTGGCAGGATGCTGACTGACTGCGCCGACGTAGCAGTTTTAAATTATTAATTTATTATTATTACGTTATTTCACCATTTTTTAATGTTTATTTTGTCAATAATTAAAAAATAACTTTACAGAGACTACTTACCGACGGCAGCATGGATATAAATTCTACAAATGTTCAGGGACAGGCAGGCTATGCTTTCTTTCTTATTAACTGGCTTTACGGCTCTGGGCTCTAGCCCTTGTGAGCCTAAGTTAACGTTATGTACCCGGCACTAGCGCCATCTAGTATCGGGGACGAGAGCGAGGGGAGCTTTCCAGAAAATGACATCACTAATCTTTCAACCGACAGCGCCATCTAGTGTCGAAACGAAGAACTAAGCTTCTAGATGCCGACACTCGAACTTTCGACGCCTTGCGCGTATTTACTTGAATGTTCTGGATGTTTCGGTGCTAATGTGTATTTATATGCGCTGCAAGGTGCGATCGGGGAAGTATTGAATTTGGCGAGACAAGCGAAGCTTCGGAGCGGAATAAAGTGAATTAGTGTGGTTAATTATTAGTGTTTTAAGTTTAAATAGTGTAAAGTGAATTAAAGAGTTAATTTTGGTAATTCTATCGGCAATTTTAATTGTCACGAACCCTAAGTTCGTAACAATTGGTGTCAGAAGTGGGATTGAATCATGCCGATTTTACCTAAGGAGGAAACGGAGGGTGTCCATACCCGAAATAAACACCAGCAGGAGACGGACCAGAGAAGATTTGGTGGTGCAACGCCGCAGACGTCGGAGGGCCAGCCGCCGGCTGCAGGCCCGTCCGTAGCTCCTACATCTGCAGCACCTGACTTGGGTGTTCTGATGGTGATGCTGCAGAAACAGGCTCGCCGATAGGATGGACAGGTCCGTCAGTTAAAAGAACAGCTGCAGAGCGGACAGGATGAACAGCCCCGCCGACAGGAGGAACAGGTCCGTCGGTTGGAAGAGCAGCTGCGGGGTGGACAGGATGAACAGGCCCGCCGACAGGAGGAACAGGTCCGTCATTTGGAAGAGCAGCTGCGGGGCGGACAAGAAGAACAGACCCGTCGGTTGGAAGAGCAGATGCTCCTCATGAAGGACCTTCACGCTACCTTTGGGAAGGAGATAAGCGAGGTGAAGGATAGGGTTGCTCAGCATGATAACCGCCTGTCGGAAGCTGAAACCCAAGCTGAAAACCGAATCGAGAAAGTTGAAACCCGAATCGACCAAGTGAACAATCGGGTTGACAAAGTGATAGCTGACGTGAAGAAAACGCTGGATGACCTCAAACTGGGGGATGGAATTACAGCTTCCGTAGTAGCTGCAACACCTTCGCTACGTGGGTTCAAGGTGCCACAGTTTGATGGGACTTCTTCCTGGTCGGCCTACAAAATCCAGTTCGAAGTTGTTATGAAGGCGAACGGCTGGAATAAAAGTCAGGCCATGACTGCTCTCACACTAGGCCTGCGCGACCAGCCCTTAACAGTTCTGGAAGCTCTCGGTGAGGCAGTGACTTATGAGCAACTCCTTGAGGCATTGGAGGCGAGATATGGCGACGCTCACCTGGAACACGTCTTTCGTGCACAGCTTAAAGATCGCGTGCAGCGCATCAACGAAAACCTGCAGCAGTGGGCTCTAGAGGTGGAGAAGCTGGTGCGAAAAGCGTACGATCTTGAACATGTTCGCAGACTGCAGACTTCCCGGAGCGTCGGTGCTTCACGTCAGCTATATGTTCTTTCACGCGGGTTTTTATGGATCTTTTTTGTTTGGCCTATGTAAGAGAGACCACATTCACAATCTAACTTGTACACTCCTGCATCTTGTAGAGGGATATTACACTTGACGGATGGTAAAAATTGACTAATCTTCTTCGGCGGCTTGTAGTATGTTTTAATAGAAGTCTCTCTTCATAGATGAATAAAAAAGATCCATAAAAACCCGCGTGAAAGAACATATAGCTGACGTGAAGCACCGACGCTCCGGGAAGTCTGCAGTCTGCGAACATGTTCAAGATCGTTCCCACCATTACATTCGTTTTGATAAACCACAAATTCTCGCCAAAGAACACCGATTCCTACCAAGGATGATACGCGAGGCTATTGAAATTAAAAAACATCCAAATTTCAATAGAGAAGATGGATGGGTGCTGCCACCTGCTTGGGATCCTATAATTAACAAAATTAAACCCAAACCTAAGCATACCACTGCAAGACTTCATGATACTATAAGCTCGTTTTGCATAAATCGGACCAAAAATTAATATTCAAAAACTGAAGGTAGCCGGACTAACTATGACATTGGGACGTCAAACATCTCAGTCCCCCCCGTGACCATGGGCGCTGTAAAGCACCCGAAACGTCGGGAATTAAAAATAAGTAAAAGTAGTGAAATAAACGCGATAAAATCCGTAAATTTAGTTTTATTCAAAACCTGAAATTTATATTATCATCATCGAACAACTTGATAGCTTGTAGCTTGGACATCAAAACATAAAATCTCACTATTTTTGTGCACCATAATCCAATTACATTTGAACCATTATTTAAACTATAAAACCAATTCCTATCGAAACCGCCAAATGTCCATAGATTAAATAAGCCTTAATTATGGGTGCTTGCGCTTGAAATGGTGATTTCACTGTAAGAAATTCGTGCCCTACTATTGGTGATATAAAAAAATACGTGTGGCACTCGGTGACTGCCGCGGTAAAGCTATTGCATAGCATTTTTTATCAACTTCTGCAATTATAATTATTTATTTATTTTATTTATGCAGTTAAGTCTTTGATATTAAATCAAGTTACACTTTTTGAGCGTGGTGACCGATAAGAAAACCATTTTTTTCTCTTATTGAATAAATGAGAAGTTAATATTGTTTAAAATATTTTTAATATCTTACAATACATGTAGGTTATTCAGGAATTTTTATCATTGAGTTAGCAGCTAGTGTACACGCATACGTCTAGTCGCACGCACACAAACACCGTGCCGAAGTCTGCCGAGTGCCGAAGTCTGCCGAACTGAAACGACATTACGGCGCCTCTACACGTTGGCCAACACAGTGGCGAATGTAGTGGCCAGTAGCATTGGCCAACGTGTAGACGGGGTGTTTGGGCTTCATTGGTACGATGGCCCGCAAGTTGGCGCGACATCCGTGTGGTGTCGGTTTTTTACAAAAGATCAAAGGATTGTTGGCAGAGTTTGGTCGCCGTGGACGCGGACGTGGACATTGGCCTCGCGTTTAGTTTGCTACAAGCTCCCAGAGTGATTACACGCATCTGATTTAAATTTTATATTCAAGTTTTTTAGGGTAGATGCCCCAATTACTAGCCTTTTAGTGCCAATTTCATTATTTTTACACATTTTTTTTAATCGATAAGCTATTTATCAAAAAAAATAACGAACATTTATTTACAATCAGGTTATTACGAGACCAATTTTAAAATGAAAAAAGAAAAGAAGAAGAACGTCGTTTATACGTGGTAGAACCATGCAGTCATATTAGAAGTATAGTTGTAGCACGAATGGGTCGACTCGACCGGGGTTGGACCATGCTCTCACAGAATATCAGCGTAAAATAGTAGCTTAATGATGCTGTGTTTCGTGTAGTGAGTGTAGAGAACCAGAGACCCTTTTTAAAGGAAACAAGGCATTTCATCTTAGTCCTCACGGGTCGCATCAGCATTTTGATTCGTAATCGAGGACAGATGTAGATGTCTGTAGGCCACTGTAACCACTTACCATTAGGTGAACTGTGTGCTCATTTGTCACCCTATGCTATTAAAAAAACGTCGATTTCTTATAATTTAGCAAGTTTTCGAATCATCATCATTATTACAGCTCTTCACAAGTCCACTACTGAACATCCTCCTCCACAGACTGCCGCAAAGCATGGTCCTGAGCCACTTTCCTTGTCATGAGTTTTTCATTTATGTTCTAAGTTATAATTAGTACCTACTACTAAGTCAGTGTTAATTATATTTATTGCTATTGGTTTTGTCTTTCTCAAAAAATAATTAAATTACAAAAAAATAAATTATAAAGTGTTTTTTATATACATCAAATGTCTGATAGAAAAGCAAGTACATGTTTTGCTAAACTTTAAAATCAAAACCCAATTTTAAAACATAGACTAATCGATTACAACTCCTTTAACTTTAAAATAAGTTAAGTTCTAATTTATGGTATTTATTCCAGTTTATGATGCATGTAGAGAATAAATAAAGCTAATCGTATATCGTATATCTATACTACGGCCCCGTTAATATCAACTATTCTTTTATAATAATTTTTATAAAAAGGTTATCCCCACACTTGGATTTTCTCCTGTATCGCGGAGGCAGTTTACAAACATAAATTGCACAAGGACACACATCCAGACCCGGAACAATTAGTTGTAGGACATACAAATACTTGTTCCGTGCGGGATTCAAACCCGCGCCCCCCGGCACAGCCACTCATTGCTAAGCCACTGCGCCACGGAG